GCGGCCGACGGTGGCCCACCGGCACCCCCGGCGGTCGCAGAGACGCCCTCTGTCCACAGCGCGGGGCCTCGAGCTGGCTGGGGGGCAGTCGCGGTCAGCGCTGCCGCCCAGTCGAATGGAGACCGGTTGTCAGAAGGGTGTTCTGGGAGGTTAATTAGAGTCCTGATGGCTAGCTACCCGCCTTGATGATGAGGGCCAGGGCCGTTCAAATCCCCGACCAGAAGATCTTTGAGGATCGGAATGCCCTGTGTGTCACAGTAAGGGATGATTTGCCGGGAAAGTGGTGGGTTCTGACATGACTGTGCCGTTCACATTGCCAACACGAGCGATACATTTACCGCTGTCCCGCAATCCCACACCGAAGCCTGACATGTGCGAATAATAGTTTGCACACTCTGGTTACTGACATCCGTGCGAGATGTAATCATTTCAACGAGTAAAGCCTCCACCTACCATTTCTCAGAGTTACGGATCGTGAAAAGCGGCCAAGCTTTATTATTCTACGTCTAACAGAATGCTATCATCCAAAAGGCAACGCTTCGACTCTGATCAATAAATGCCCAAGGCTGGAGATACCAATACTTGTGGGACACGGGCATGAATTCACTTCACCGTAGCTCGACGGTAGCAATCCTGTGTCGCAATACTGGTATAAATGTATACCGGTGCCCAGCGTCCTGCGATATGGTCAGCGGTAATGACTAAATCCAGAGTCTTCTCAGAAACACTACTGCGATCGACGAAATGACTGATGTTATAGATATCAGGAGTCCGCCGCAACTTATCACCTCTTCAGGCAAACTATTTTATCGTTTGGTTTCTTAGATCCTAAGTTTCAGTTATATTTGGGGAAGATGACGACTTTAAGGCAAGACTTCGCGCGACGTCCGTATGACATGCGCAGAGCTCAGTAAAATGGTAAAGGGTAAGTGGTAGATTGGTAAAAGGTTTCATGCTCCTCTGCATGCATGAAAGTTTTACCTCCCATACAGGTGCAATCTAAACGCTTGAAAACGCTAACTGCTCATGCGGATGTTGACTGGTGAGGGAGCACACATGTTCAAACGCATGGGATGCGTGTCGTGTCGGGTTGAAATAAATATACCTGTTGCTGCGGAAGCGATCGTCCCTTTCCCTTGAAAGTGACTCTAGTTCCGTCGAGGGAAGAAAAAGAGGCGTTGCACTTGCAAAAAACTTTGCACGTACAAAAACACGCTAACAGAGTCCGAAGTCAGATGCTCGGAAGAGCAGCGACTGCAACGTAGATAGCAAGTAAGAGAAACACAACCAAAACTGCGACGAAAGGCATAAAGACATCTCAGATTCGGCCTGATAGACTCCGACATTTCAAGTGATTGAGTGATACAAAGTCCATCATTAACCATGCATTCGTCAAAAAAGGGTACTATCGACTAGGATAAAACCAGAAATGTTAATAGGCAGCAAACAAAACCTCCAAATGTCTCGGAAGATGCATCATGGAATCAAACCAAAGCGACAGCTGAATCGCCGGTAACAAATGGTTGGCATGACTACCGCGCCAGTCCCGGCGTCGACACAGGCGCCACGGTCTCACCCTCGCACGCCCAGCTCATCATCAGACATGATTACACACCAGTCGTCCGATAACGGGATAATTCATGGTGGCGGGCGGCGCGCGTGGCGTCCGGCACCCTGTATCCGGGAGAGGGGCGACCATTTTCATAAGTTTTCCATCCGTCGCCGGCACCGCCGACATTAGCATAGCCCGTGAATAATGCGACGCCGTGTGCCGACGTCACTTACGAGTTCGGAAGTGCCTCCAAACTAATTTGTCAAGCGAGCGTAAGACGCCGGGCGCGCTCCGCCGGGGTCACGTGACCGGGCGCGGCCGACGGTGCGCACACCACGTGATCGGCGGGTGTCGCTGGGCGGCCGAGGCAGCCACGATTGGCGCGCTCAGCAGCGGCACGGGCAGCGCACGTCATCCGAACTTAGCTGCGCACCGGTTGTTGACGAAGTCTAGCTGCTGACTGAGTCTGTTGGCTGACTTTGAAGTCACAAGTTTAGAGGAACAGCAGATTCAACCAGGATGTGGATCAGCCACGAGAGCCACATGTAATGCTGCAGGCGCGCGCGAACGCCCGAAAACAATGAGCGGATCGAAACATTTCATTGGCGTGTTTTTGCATCCTCCGCCGGATTTGTCCTGCCTCGTCGAGCTTTCATGACGGCCCGTGTTTCTACACCGCAGCGGCCGACGCATCAATGCAGGCTGAGTCAGAGGAGGGTCCGGCTGCCGAACAAGGCGCGACGGACCGCGGCGCACCAGGCCTGCAGCGCAGCGCGGCTATCGGCTGCAGGCTGGACGGGTCACGGCAGGGGCCGCGCCGGCCGCCGTGTTTGGTGCGTGTCAATGCACGAGGAGCGCCAGCTTCGACGCCGTCCAACCGGAAGCGGGGGGAGGGGAGGGGGCCGCCAAGGTCGGTCGGCGTGGGCACAACAAACGACGGGAGATGCGGCCGAACCGCCGCGCGGCCGTCCAGCTGATCGATGGCCAGACACAACCGCTGTATTAATGAGGTAATTACTGACAACGGAGCGAACAGTGCGCGCATGCGTCAAACGCCTGACGCGGCGGCGGGCGGACGGCGAAGCGCTCCTCCCGCCACCAGAGGCGTAACGGGACGCAGACGAGCCGGCCGGGCCGCCGCGAGAGGACAGCAGTGAGCGCCACACCGCGCCGGTGAGGCCACCGCGGGAGGGCGGCAGCCAGCGCCACACCGCGCCGGCGGGGCCGCCGCGAGGGGGCAGCAGTGAGCGCCACACCGCGCCCGCCGCCGGTGGGTTGACGCGTGCCACGCACGTACGGATGCGCTCTGTCCGTGCGGCCTCCCACCACCAGATGCATGCCAGACGGTGGCGTCGTCGAGCGTGTTCCACCAAGCACGGGCTCTGACTACCCTCCCTTCCTTCTTTGTCTGAGATCCAGCGACGAGTGGCTAGCCATCTGAGCAAGCGATTAGCGGGCAATGGGAAGAGAAAGGCACGGCTTGACGCGGCATGCGATGTAAAACGCAGCAATGTGCGTTTGATGAGCCTCAGCCTTCAGCACCAGCATGTGCTGTGCGAGAAGTGTTAGTGTGAGGAACCAGGATGGTCAAGAGTCCATAACTAATTATGTGACGCTGATTTCAAACAGCAATGAATTTAGTGAAGTAAGCCAGCTAAATACATAGGCTCGCTGGATTTGCAGTAATTTTTAGTGAGCCTTTCCAACCCACCGGGGCCACTTTGATCAACTCAACTGAAGTGAATGGGAAAGCGCATTGACGCCGTGACAGCGGGCTCAATTGTAACCGGTTACTTTGCCACTGACCTCGTGATATATTGTATAACCAATAGCCAAAACACGATTCATATTACAGGTATCGTACCCGAACTTGTGATGTAGGAAATATGTTTCGATACCTGAGCTCGTGCTGTATGAAACCGATTGTGAAAAACACGGTGTCACCAGTGGTGTAGTTCCACTGGTGACACCGTCTCTTCCATTGTATCGACCATGAGCATTACGCATACGATGGTCTATGTAGAGTTCTTTCAAAGTTGTGAAAGCTCCTATGTTTAAAAGCAGATGTTCGTAGGAGCCCAACAGTAAGCACAACTGCCAGCAGAACAGCTGTGCGCATTGCGCACAAGACGTAAATGTGACATAAGGGAGTTTACGGCGGTGGAATCAACCCACTCGTCCGTCTCTTACACCGTACAGTTACTGAAGACAATATCTTTTTCTCCCGGATGCAACTTGCCGCTGGCGAATAAATACAAGCGTCGTATACAAGCAAGCGTATACATACTGCATGAACTAATGCAGTTCATGCCCCCCCCCCCCTCAGCGTGTACATAATGTGAATCGAAATATATTCGCTAGGAGATTGACGTGCAATGCGCAATTGGATCAGCCGGCTCCGGAGTCAGGAAGACGCTCCAGCCGAGTCAAGCGGACACTCCAGACACGACTTGTCAGGGAGCGGGCGGATTTAAGCCGGTTCGTGTAGCCATGTCTCAAGCCAGAGTCCACGCGCGGGCGCAACTAGCGCCATGGCATAATGGCGACCGGTGCCGGAACTACTGTTTCTGCTTTCCAACGCACCCCACGGAACGTACCCGGAAGAATCATAAAAAACACATCGGACTGGAAAGACCTCGTTAAAATTGCTGGTGTGTTGATGTGCGTAACAATATGGAATGAATAAGCACCGAGGCGCCAGAGGCAAACATGTAGACAGGTGGACCTGCCGGTGTTTGTGATTCCGGCGGCGGTGGCGCTGCCGCCAACTGACCTGGGTGAAACAGCGCATGCTCCGGCCGCAGAGGCGCGTCAGTCGCGTCTGCGAGGTGCAGAGGGCAGCACTGAGCCGCTGCCGCTGGGCCGCGGCCGCCGCCGGCGCCTCCAGCTGCTGCTGCAGGCTGTCGAACGTCTGCTGCTCGATCAGCATGGCGTCCTGCAGCAGCTGGATGAGCTCCAGCAGACCCTGCCGGCGGCGGACGGAGACGGCGTCAGCGGGCGCTGGGCGGCGCAGGTCGCCGTGACAGCGCGTGACGAGGAGAGCAGGTCGATGGCGACCGACGGCAGGGCGGCCGGGGCAAAAAAGAGGCATCAGACTTGTTATGGCATTGCTTCCGGAAGACTGAACTGGAGTGGCGCGGAGGCGCTTTCGAGGAGAGGGGAAGTTGCCAAGGGTAAAAAGACTCGTCCACCTCGACGTGTAGAAAAGCGCTCCGGGTAGGTGTCACTCGTCTTGACTCGTGACAGTGCCGATGA